AAGACCCAACCCCCTCCTTCCCCAGGACTTCCCTCTCGCCTCCAACCGCGTCGATGGCGCTCCGGGAATTCTGGGGCGCAGAGGAGGAGTTTCCCCCTCATTCCAACGCCTTTTTCCATGTTTTTTTCCGGGCAGGAGTTCCTCTCTCCACGCAGTGGGGCCCTCAGGGCTACTTCTACCCCATCCAGATCGCCCAGTACGGGCTGAGCCACTACAGCAAGAACCTGACGGAGAAGCCACCGCACGTGGAGGTGTACGAGACGGCGGGAGACGGGAACGGCAACGGGAACGGGAACGGGGAGTGGACGGTGCCCAAGGGCTGCTCCCTCACCACCGTCTGGGACAAGTCCCGCCTCACCAGAGTCAAGCAGTTCTCCTGCCCAGGTGGGTGTCGGGAATTCCGGAGCAGGGAATGGGAGTTGTTGGGGGGCTGGCGTTTCGTTTGGCGTTTGTTCCCAATCCTTGATTCCGGTCTTTCGTTCCCAGTCCTTCGTTCCCAATCTTTTTCATTCCCAAGCCTTCACTGCCAGTCCTTTGTTCCCCATCCTTTTAATTTCCAGTCCTTCATTCCCAGTCCTTCGTTCCCAATCCTTTTTGTTCCTTATGCTTCATTTCCCATCCTCTTCACTCTTCATCCTTTTCATTCTCCATCCTTTGTCTTTCCCATCCTTTTCCTTCCCAGTCCCTTCATTCCCAATCCTTCATTCCCAATCAATTCTCCATATCCCATCCTTTTCATTTCCCATCCTTTCTTTCTCAATCCTTCATTCCCAGTCATTCCTTCCCCATCCTTTTCATTCCCAGTTCTTCATTCCCAGTCCTTCATTCCCCATCCTTTTCATTCCCAGTCCTTCATTCCCCATAATTTTCATTCCCAATTTTTCATTCCCAGTCCTGCATTCCCAGTCCTTCATTCCCCATCCTTTTCATTCCCAATTTTTCATTCCCAGTCCTTCATTCCTCATCCTTTAAATTCCATATCCTTCATTCCCCATCATTTTCATTCCCAGTCCTTCATTCTCCATCCTTTTAATTCTCAATCCTTCGTTCATGGTCCTTAATTTCCCATCCTTTTCATTCCCAATTCTCCGTTCCCCATAATTTTCATTCCCAGTCCTCCATTCCCCATCCTTTTCATTCTCAGTTTTTCATTCCCAGTCCTTAATTTCCCATCCTTTTGATTCCCAATCCTCCATTCCCCATCCTTTCATTCCCAGTCCTTCATTCCCCATCCCTTCCATTCCCAATTCTCCATTCCCCATCATTTTCATCCCCATCCTTTTCATTCTCAATTTTTCATTCCCAGTCCTTCATTTCCCATCCTTTTAATTCCCAATCCTTCATTCCCCATCCTTTTCATTCCCGATTTTTCATTCCCAGTCCTGCATTCCCAGTCCTTCATTCCCCATCCTTTTCATTCTCAATTTCTCATTCCCAGTCCTTCATTCCCCATCCCTTCCATTCCCAATCCTTCATTCCCAGTCCAGAACGCCGAATTATTGAAGGTCTGCTCTAAAAACCTTTGGAATCCCTCCCGGGAGCGGGGATGGCCTCTGGAATCCTCCCCGACCCTTGGGAAAGGAGAATCCTCCCCAACCCTTGGGAATGGAGAATCCTCCCCAACCCTTGGGAAAGGAGGAATCCTCCCCGACCCTTGGGAAAGGAGAATCCTCCCCAACCCTTGGGAAAGGAGAATCCTCCCCAACCCTTGGGAATGGAGAATCCTCCCCAACCCTTGGGAAAGGAGAATCCTCCCCGACCCTTGGGAATGGAGAATCCTCCCTAACCCTTGGGAATGGAGAATCCTCCCCAACCCTTGGGAATGGAGAATCCTCCCCGACCCTTGGGAAAGGAGGAATCCTCCCCAACCCTTGGGAATGGAGAATCCTCCCCAACCCTTGGGAAAGGAGAATCCTCCCCGACCCTTGGGAAAGGAGAATCCTCCCGCGCTGAGCCGGCCTTCTCCCGGGCTTTCCTTTTTCCACAGAAAGCTCCGAGGGCGTCTCCCTGGAGCTGAACAACGGCCGGGATTTCGTCATCTCCTTCGACCTGAAGCTGCTGAGCAACGGCAGCGTGTCCNCAGAAAGCTCCGAGGGCGTCTCCCTGGAGCTGAACAACGGCCGGGATTTCGTCATCTCCTTCGACCTGAAGCTGCTGAGCAACGGCAGCGTGTCCGTGGTGCTGGAGACCACGGAGAGGAACCAGCTCTTCACCGTGCACTACGTGTCCAGCACGCAGCTCATCGCCCTCAGGGACCGGGACATCTTCTACGGCGTCGGCGCGCGCGGCAGCTGGAGCACGCTGACCCGCGACCTGCTGACGGACCTCCGCAAGGGCGTGGGGCTCTCCAACACCAAGGCGGTCAAGCAGACCAAGATCATGCCCAAGCGGGTGCTGCGCTTGGTGGCCAAAGGCCGCGGCCTCCTGGACAACGTCACCGTCTCGGCCACCGCCCACATGGCCGCCTTCTTCGCCGCCAGCCGCTGGCTGCTGCGCAACCAGGACGAGCGCGGCGGCTGGCCCATCATGGTCACCAGGAAGTTGGGAGAAGGCTTCAAATCCCTGGATCCGGGCTGGTACTCGGCCATGGCGCAAGGCCAGGCCATGTCCACGCTGGTCAGGGCCTACCAGCTGACCAAGGATCCGGCGTTCCTGGGCGCGGCGCTCCGGGCCACGGCGCCCTTCAAGCTGCCGGCGGAGCAGCGCGGGGTCAAGGCGGTGTTCATGAACCGACACGACTGGTACGAGGAGTACCCCACCACGCCCAGCTCCTTCGTGCTCAACGGCTTCATGTACTCCCTGATCGGCCTCTACGACCTGAAGGAGACGGCGGGCGAGAAGCTGGGCGAGGAGGCGCGGCTGCTCTACGAGCGCGGCATGGCGTCGCTCAAGGCCATGCTGCCGCTCTTCGACACCGGCTCCGGCTCCGTCTACGACCTGCGGCACTTCATGCTGGGCACGGCGCCCAACCTGGCGCGCTGGGACTACCACACCACCCACATCAACCAGCTGCAGCTGCTGGGCTCCGTGGACGACGCGCCCGTCTTCAAGGAGTTCGTCAAGAGGTGGAAGAGCTACCTGCGGGGAGGGCGGGCCAAGCACAACTGAGCGCCTCGTCCCCGCGCTTCCCGAAAACGCCGGCCCCAAAACCGGGACGCGCTCCGGCGCCGAGGCCGGGCTGTTGGTGGGATCGCCGTCTCCTCCTCCGAGGAGAACCTTTGTGGAAGCCATAGGAGCCCCGCGGGGCGCGGCCGCTGCCCGGACGGGACTGTGCGTCCGCGGCGCCGGAGCCGCTCGGAGGCCGGGAGCGCGAAGCGTGGCTTTAAAGCGGTGAGGTGGGGAGGGGGGGGCGGGTTTCCCTAGGGATTGGCTTTTGCGGGATGGAAAAATCCCCAGTTGGAATTTTTTGCCGGCTCTCTGCCTGGAGGTCCTGGAGCTGGAGGGTTTTTTTCCTTGGAAAACACGTGCCCGGCAGCATGGAAGCACAACTGGGAGCCTGGAGCGCACAGCCCCAGGCCACCAGCACCGGTGTCCCCTCGGAGCTGGGATCCTTATCCCGGTCACCGGAATTCCCTCGGAGCTGGGATCC